TGGGCCTGGCAGAGTGTCTGGTAAGTAGCGTGTTTCTAATAAATGCTGGCTGCTCTACTGCTCACAGTCACCGTCTGCAGAACATTCTTCATCACCAGGTGCTAGTCACTTTCAGACACTGAATAACAATGGGGGGTGTTCTGATCAAATCCTCCCAGGAGCCCCGTGGGGGCCAGTATGTCTCTAATTTTGGCAAGTACTTTTATCTAGGAGGTGGGATAAAATCTGAAAGAAACATGAAGCATTTATAAAAACGTAAGTTCTGCCCTGGCCGGTTTGGCTCAGCGGTTAGAGCATCAACCTGCGGTCCAGAGAGACCCGGGTTCGGTTCCCGTGAAGGGCACATGCCTCAGTTGCAGTTTGTCCCCAGCCCTGGTTGGGTCGTGCAGGTGGCAGCCACTTGATGTGTCCCTTTCACATAGATGTTTCTCTCTCTCCCTCCTGCTCTATCTTAACAAAGAATGGAAAAATGTCCTTGGGTGAGGATAAAAGACAAAACAAAAATGTAAGTTCTGGAAATAAGGAAGTTTTGGTGGAGATGACGTGGAGAAAAGTTTATACAATACAGCTTTAGCTTTATAAGGCAACAAATAATGACCGCTGTAAACTCAAGCACAGCTCTAGATGCTTGGGACGAACCAGTTCTGGGTCAGCCCCGGAACCCTGGAGTACCCAAACAACAAGGAATCTTAGAGAACATCACACAATCACCTGACTTTATAAAGAGGACTTAAGATTGGAAGCATGAAAAAGAGGACAAGAAAGAACAGATCGTCCCATATTTGTAGATGACCCTCTGTGTGTGGAATTGGGACCTCAATGTTTCCTTGAAGTACAGTAAAAATAGATTTTACACTTGAAAGATTAAGTGAGGTTCACCCACTGGAGGCAAGACACTCTGCCAGTCACTAGTACACAAAGAGGCAGGGGCTCTCCCGTCAAAGGACTCATCACCCATTCAGGCAACGAATATGCCTTGAACATCTACATTATGTGCCAAGTACCGAACTTGATTCCAGGGACCGGGAAAGCATTTACAGTCCAGCAAGGGAGACAGGTATCTAAAGAGATGACTAATGGTGTTACATTGAAATGGCATGCGATACGTTACGTCAGGGGAGGGGTGCCTGAGGAACGCCGGGGAGACCAGAAAAGCCTTGGGGGCGAAGGGGAGCGGATCATGGGGCTGGTGGAGTCCGGAGCGCACCCCGGGGAATGCAAGGCCAACTCGGGAAGGCAGGAATGCACAGGAGGCAGGATGCCACCTCTTACACCCTGGCTCTTCACGCCCCTTCCCAGGTGCACGCCCATCGCCTGTGACCTCCTGCCTACCTGGATTGCTGCACACCCTCCTGCCACCTGCATCCTGTCCGGTCTGCTCCGGCTCCCACACAGGAGTCACGTGGTCTCTTTAGGACACAGACCTGAGTCACATCACTCCCCCTGCCTGAAACTCTTCAAAGGTGTCCAATGCCCTCAGGATATTGAATAACATACAATAATGAAGAAGATGATAAAAACATCAAACTTACATACAGCTTCCTATATCCCAAGTGTTAATCTGCACACTTCACATGGACAACTGGTCTTCGTTATTTGTGGATTCTCTGTGAATTTACCTACTTGCTAAAATTTATTTGTAACCCCACGTCAACACCTGGAGTGCTCTGGAGGTCGTTCGTGGACGCGTGTCTTCTGCACACGCTTCTAGCTGAGCCCAAAGAAGGGGCAACTGTCCGCCTTCGTTTCTCGGTTCTCACGCCGCAAGCGTGGCTTTTCTGGGATCTACTTGGCGGGTACTTTTGCTGTTTAAAATAGTCCCCAAGCATAGTGCAGAAGTGTTGTCTCGTGTGGGAAGAGCCGTGAGTGCTTTATGGAGAAAACTCGTTTGGGATGAGTTACAGCGCCGTGAGCGCTGAGGTCAGCGTTGATGGGTCAACAATCTATATAGTGAGTGAGGTGCCTTTAAACAGAAACACAGAAGGCCAGGTGTGTGCTGACGGATTGATGAAAGCGTGGTGACCGCGGGTTCGGGGGAGCCCAGCCACGGAGTTCCCCTGGGAGCGAAGCTCAGAGTTCACTGACTCGCTGTTGGAAGTGACCGGAGAGAATATACTAGAGACTGATGACAATCAACACAGATACTGACTCACTTAAAACTAAGAAGACCCATAAAAATAAAGGCAAAGTCTTTCCTGCAGCATGTCCAACCCTCCAGTGCAGCGGTTCTCAACCTGTGCGTCGCGACCCCTTTCACAGGGGTCGCCTAAGACATAACAGTAGCAAAACTACAGCTATGAAGTAGCAACAAAAATGATTCTATGGTTGGGGGTCACCACAACACGAGGAGCTGTACTAAAGGGTCGCGGCCTTAGGAAGGTGGAACCACCGCTCTAGTGCATCGTGTCTCCTTTTCTTTCCTGGCTACACTAACCTTTCAGATCGGTAACCTTAGGTTTCTTTTAAATTCTTCTAAATGTATGTTTCTTTCCTGGCCCAACACCTTGTCATAGGCTGTTTCCTTTGCCTTTTCTCACCACCTCCAGCCAGTTGATTATTTTTTTAATTAAAGTTTTTTTCTTTATTGACTTAGAGAGAGAGGAAGAGAGAGGGAGAGATAGAAACATCAATGAGAGAGAGCATTGACTGGCCGCCTCCTGCATGCCCCCCACTGGGGATCAGGCCCACAGCCTGGGCATGTGCCCTGACCGGGAATCGAACCGGTGACCTCCTGGTGCATGGGTCGACGCTCAACCACTGAGCCACAGCGGCCGGGCTTTCCAGCCAGTTTGGACCCGGGTTATCCTGCACCCGCCTTGCCCTTCCCCTTGCCTTCTCAGCACAACTTAAAGAATTTTATCTCCTCACTGTTGCTATGTTTTCCTTGCTTTTTCAACTATGCCAACCCTGTGAGTCTCCGGTCACTGCCTTCCCAGACGTGTGCTGTGACGACGTGAGACTGCGCGTCCAGAGGAGGAGGGCGTTAGCGACGAGGGGGCGGCCACGAGGCGCCCGGTGCCGCGGAGAGAGGACCGGCTGGACAAGCCTGCACTGGTCTCCGTCAGGGAGTGAGCAAGGGTCGCAGAAGGACGGACATGGCTGTCGGGTGCAGTGGGTTGGGGAATGACGGGGACACATGAAAGGTGTAGGGACACTTCCTGAGTTTGGCTGGGGTAGGACAAGGAGGGGAGGCGTTATAATTTAGGAGGCTGCCGGACTGTAGGATGGTTTTGTAGGGAGGGAGAGTGACACAGATTTTACAGGTTGAGGAGGAAATAGATAACTGAAAGAAACTGAAGGTAACAGAGAGAGTGAGGGAAAACATAGGAGATCAAGTCGGACTGCCCATGACGATTAATTCCTTGCTCTGATTCTCATTTTCCAACCATGTCAATATATTTTTGAAACTTTTTTGATCTAGAATGGAGAGCTTCAGATGACCTGTTTTGCTTATGATGCATGCGATGTAACCTGTAACTGGGGGAGAGAGAGCACTTGAAAATATCCTTTCAACGTGTAACCTTCAGAAAGAAGTGGGGATACCCATTTCCTCCCTGTGGCCTGCAGGGGAAGAGGGGGGCCAGGGGAGACGCATTTCTCGATGAGGGGTGGTAAGGCTTCCGCTTCTCACTGACGTGGTAGGCAAGGCTGCTGTCCTAGGGGTCCAGAGTCGAGAAGTTCAAAGTGTCCAAGGTTTGGAGTGACGTGTGGTGGAAAAGAAGGGCAGATGGCCGGGCAGTTGGAGGGCTGTGTGATGCCGACGTGTGCAGTCTTGCAATGCCTGCCTCTCCCAGCGCCGCCCAGCAGTCCGGGTTAAGGTCCACGAATGAGGGTTATAGCGCTGGTCCCAGGGAGAAAACCACAGGACTTGGATCTTGAGGGTACTAGCAAGAGTGGCTGAGGCAGCAGGCCTTGGGGTCTCCTTCAGATGGGCAGGGCAGGCTGCTGAGTGTGTGGCTAAGGGAGAAGGGGGAGTCTTGGGCACTGGAGGTCCATTCACGGTTTAAGGAAAAGCCAGTGACCTGCGTTTTCCAGCGTGAGAAATTTGAAGAGCTAAAAGATGGCGTTTTGACATTGGTATATTCAAGTTCATAGTTAATGACACGATCCTGGATGTGGCCATGGAGGGAATTAAAATGTAGTGTAAGCAAGGGTAACGGAAGTGCAGCGAGCCAAGGAGGCTGTGAGCTGATGGCATTGAATGATCGAGAAGAGCCGGGAAGTCCCTAGATAAGGGCAACAAGCAGGGGAGAGGACAGGACAGGCAGATGACACGAACCTCAGAGGTAGACATGGTTTTGCACCAAGGAGGCAGCTTGACCCCTGGAATTTGCCGAGGGAAACAAGAACAATGCACACATACTTCAGGATCAGAGTAGGGAGCACAGGCTGGTTCCACCGGAGTGAGCTATACAACAGATCAAATCCCCTGTCAGGCTGAAGGTGGAAACGGTCAGAGAGTCGGGGAGAAGACCCAGAGGGGAACAAAAGGAAGGTCTGTAATCCTAGGGTCTGGTTCCTAAACGTAAGAGTGTAGCAGAACATCCTGGAGAGCCAGGCATCCTGCCCATATTTCTGATTGAGCACATCTGGGCTGGGGCCCGAGAATCTGCATATCGAACAAGTTCCCAGGTGAGGCTGATGAGGTTTGTTGGTCCTGGGACCATGCTTCAAGAATCACTATTTGGGAAGGATGGTCTTTACTGGAGAAACCCCAAACTGTCCAGGAGAGAGATGGACTGAAAATCTTTAGTGTGCAGATCTAGCTGGGTTCTGCCTCATCTCATGTGTCTTAGAATTATATCCCCAAACAATGAAAGTAAAATGAAATAGAGTTCTACTTAAACCTGAATACGCCAGAAAGAAACAGACTTTGGGGATTACTCTGTCTACTGGTTTTCATGGTTTAGGTAAAAGACCGAGTAATAGAAATGTCAATGGATAGTAGGAGGAATCAATTTTCTCCCACAGGATTAACAAAAGAAAAGAAAATAGCTTACCTGTTGTGAAGATTGTCCATTAGGTTTCTCTAGAAGTCTAGCTTCTCCTGTAACAACAAGAAGTTGAAAATTGCAAGTTGCCTCCGCATCGCCGCCAAGGTGCACCCATGAAGTGGAGGGCGTTTCCTTAGAGGCGATCTGGGGCACTGGGGGTCCTGGCCTGGAACAGTCAGCCAGACAGACAAGCTTGGAAAGTCACCAGGCCCAGCTCCTGACACTCATTCAATGAGCAATTTACCCAAATCTCAGTGTTTCTTCTTTAAAATAAGATTGCAGTGCGATTTAAATGGCACAACATGTGAGCTGTTTATCCCCATGCTGGGCATGTGGGACTGTCCAATAACCGAGAGCTACTGCTCTTTATTACTGTTGACAAATATTACTTGACAATACGTCTCTTCTCTGATGGGTAAGGTTTCAGCTAAGCAGCAAGAAATTCAAGGCATTTGCTTCTTGGAGACGTATCAAACAAAGTTTCAATGAACACATATAATATGTCAACAAAAATACGTAATTTAGAAAATAGCTATGCTCTAATCCTGCAAGCCATGCCCCAGTTAGGAAGGCTTAAGTAGCTCTGCACTGTCCACCAGTCTTCAACTGAGCTGAGCGTTCACGGTCTGTCACCACACAGCACCAATGGCCGTCCAAGATAACCTCAGACACGCCTTGAGCCACCCCCGTTCCCAGTCAATCTGCATTTTTTTACTATTTTCTCTTTCCCCTTTGTTTAGGAGTTTATTTTGTTATTATTTTTAATTGCTGAAAGTGTTACAGATGTCCCCCGTTTCCCCCCATCGAACCCCTCTTCACTATTTTCTAAACGTGTCTATGTTCTGTTTCTACGCCTCTGCACATGTTGTTTTCCCAGCTGGCTCGCCTCCATGCTCATCCAGATGTGGCAAAATCCTACTGACCCTTCAAAACCTCTTCAAAAGTGGTGTGATACTTCACATACCACTTCCTCAATAAAGATTGTTTTTAAAAATCCCAACTAGCCCTGGCCGGTTTGGCTCAGCAGTTAGAGCGTCAGCCTGCAGACCAATCAGTCGTGGGTTCGATTCCGGCCAAGGGCATGGACCTTGGTTGTGGTTCGTCCCCTGGTTAGGTTCATGCGGGAGGCAACCAGCTGGTGTCTCTCTCTCTCAGAATCGATGTTTCTCCCTCTCTCCCTCTTTCTCCATCTCCTTCCCTCCCACTCTATCTGAAGATAAACAGAAAAGTATCCTTGGGTGAGGATTTATAAAAAAGAAAAAGATTTAAAAAAAAATCCCAACTAAAGGTAATTACTCCATTCTTTTACTTTCTATAGGATTTTCAACCTCTGGATGGTTCTTCTCACTCTATGCCTCGGATGATAGTAATTCATTAATTTAACATTCCCTCCATTAGACTGTAAACTCTTAGGAGGAAAGGGTCATGACTTCATCATTGTTTATCTACAGGTTGTATTCCCTCATACACTGACTTGCATTTAGGTAGTGCATTGCCTGTATTTTAAAAGTTATTTGACTTAAGAATCTTGTCACTGAAATTTTAAGAAGCCCAACACCAATGTATAGTATTATAAAACAACAATGTACATATCTTGTCAAATCCAAGATGCACATGTATTTGTTTACCTTTTAACATCTCTGAAATTGGAATGCATCTTACAATCACTGGCACATCATGGTTGAACTGGCAGCACTGTTTCTATTTTTTTGGTGCATGAGACAATGATTCATGTTATAATTGATGACATCTGATACTCAATGAAATATGCATTTTATTCATATATTATAGTTGATATCACAGAAATACATTGTGCATAAGTTTTGTTAAAAATATCCTATGTTAGCCCAGCCAGTGTGGCTCAGTGGTTGAGCATCGACCCATGCACCAAGAGGTCACTGGTTCGATTCCCAGTCAGGGCACATGCCCAGGTTGTGCGTCCGATCCCCAGTGGGGGGCATGCAGGAGGTGGCCAATCACTGTTCTCTCTCATCCATGTTTCTATCTCTCTTTCTTCCTCTCTAAAATCAATGAAGAAAAAATTAAAAAAAAAATATCCTATATTAAATGAGTGTCTACCTTGGGTACAATTATTCAAAGAAGTGTTAAACATGATCCATTTACCCAAGAACCTTCTAAGATGAAAACTAACAATATCCAGAGATAGAGTAAGAATTTTACAAGCTCTAAGCACTATGATGATCATGTATCAAAATAAAAACAATAACAATAAAAAAGTCACTTCAAAGAAATTCTATTTTTTCCTATGATGATTGTCTGAAATAATAAATTCTTTCAAAAGAAAATATTTTTGCTCTGCTGGTGCCTTAGGTACATGGCTAATTTGTTGGACAAGCATGCATTAACATTACATTGGGTTGTACATGTTGAGGACCCAATGACTGGTACAGTTAATCCGCGCTAAGCATTATGGGAGTTTAGAAGAAAAAACCAATACCAGTTGGATCAGGCTATCAGAAAGGGGTTTATGGAAAAATGGGGTGATGAGAGATAGGTAGAAATTAGTTAGGCAATGAGGACAATTTTAGTAAAAGCACAAGAGTAGTGCCGTGGCTGGTATGGCTCAGTTGGTTGACTATTGTCCTGTGCACCAAAAGGTCGCAGGTTCCATTCCTGGTCAGGGCACATACCCAGCTCTGGGTTCAATCCCTGGCTGGGGTTTGTGTGGGAGGCAACCAACTGATATTTCTCTCTCACATCAATGTCTCTCTCTTTTTCTCTCTTTCTCGCTCTCTCCTCCTCCTCTCCCTCCCTCTCTCTCTAGAATCAATGAAAAACATATCCTTGGGTAAGAAATAAAAATAAATAAAGCAAAAGGGTAGTCACAGTCTTCTCAGACAGTCACTGTGGTTTCCTGCTTCAACAGTCCTTGGACGGAACTGGTGCTGGACTCCAACCAGCTGCCCAGATCCACCCTCCACCACCTCCTCACAGAGCTCTGGACAGTCCGAGGCGCCTCCACCTCCCCAGTGCCACACAGCTGCCTCTTCTTTGTCCACCCTGACGGCCACTGTGTCCACCTGACAGGTGCACCAGAACTGCCACCAGGACTTGTTGTCTGCCATCAACTGCCAGATCAACCTGGATGTCTACACTGCTTACGTCCACCTGTCCATGTCTTGCTACTTTGACCGTGATGATGTGACTTTGAAGAACTTTGCCAAATATTTTCTTCATCAATCGCATGAGGAGAGGGAACATGCTGAGGAACTGATGAAGCTGCAGAACCAACGAGGTGGCCGGATCTTCCTCCAGGATATCAAGAAACCAGACCTGACGACTGGGAGAAGGGGCTGAATGCGATGGAGTGTGCATTACACTTGGAAAAAAGTGTGAATCGGTCACTACTAGACTTGCATGAACTGGCCACTGACAAAAATGACCTTCACTTGCGAGACTTCATTGAAACTCACTACCTGAATGCTGAATGAGCAGGTGAAATCCATCAAAGAACTGGGTGACCATGTAACCAACCTATGCAGGTTGGGGGCCCCTGAAACTCGCCTGGCAGAGCACCTCTTTGACAAGCACACCCTGGGCGACAGTGAGAGCTAAGCCTCAGGCTGGCTTCCCATAGCCACGGGGTGACTTCCCTGGCCACCAAAGCAGGGCATGCATGTTGGAGTTACCTTTACCTTTCCTAGAACCTGTACCAAATCGTCCACTCACATCTTGTCATTTGTACCATTCCTTCAAATAAAGTAATTTGGTAACCATCCTCACAAGCGAAAGGGTAGGAAAGAATCTGACTTATTGCAAAAACCCAATGGAGGGACCCATGTTGTGGATTTGGGGGATGGATATGGCATATGTGACCAGGTTACAGAGGCTCTTGAAAATACAGAAGACCAAATAGGACATGACTGCAGAGACAGTAGATTCTTGAGCAGTGAATGACAGCACAAGGGCAGTATTTTGAAAGCCTCACCTGCTCGGAGTCAGCAGGGAACATTAAAAGGGTGAGGTACAGAGAGACTTGCTACAGTTAATACTGCGAATTAAGTGACCTGATGAAAAGAGCCCGGTGTGTGGTGGTATCAAAGGGAATCCAGAGGAAAAAGCAAATTTGTAAATCTATTTTTCAAGCTTTCATTGATATTCAACTTAAATATTACTTTCTACTGCCCCTAGTTTTTCTTAGCCCATTGGTTTATATATTTATTATATATAGTGTCCTGGAAAAATTGTGTTGCTCACTACCTGCTTCCTTATGTGTAAAATGACAATTATAATAGTACCTTTTCCAGAGAGTAGTTAGGATTAAGTGAAAGAACTCAGTGACAGTAGAACATTGAGCACAGTGGTTGGCACAGACTACAATCTCAGCAGAAGATTTTTTCATGTTATGGTTATTATCAACATTATCATCATCATCATCATCGTCGTCATCGCCGTCATCCACTCTTAGTCAATTTCCCATCTTTTTTCCCTGCCACTGCACTGAAGTTCCTTGATTCCAATGATGGCATCTCATTATCTTTGTTTCTTCAAAAGGGAATACAAAGTAGGATTTCTGCTAATATGTACTGAACTGTAAAAGAGAAAATGCCAGAAATCCATGGAAGCAGGAATCTTGTGACAAAAGAAGGAATTACTACAATTATTCTTATTTTTGGAGGCTGACAGATCGGAAGAACGGTGGTTCCAAGCACAGGGAAGCTGGAAGGAGAACCTGTGCAGTATCTGAGAGGTTGTGAATTCAGCACTTAGCCTGCCGAGGTGATGTGATGGATGGGGAGAAGGGTGGCGGAGAGAACAAATGAATCCATCCACCTTCTATTAAAAGAATAAGTGGGCAAAAACTTGTAGAGAGAGCAAAAGAGGAGATAAAACAGGAAGTCCATGAATGAGAAGTAACAGATCCAGGAAATCAGCAGTGGAGACAACCAAGAACGAGCTCAATGTAGACGGTAGAATCCTTAACGGCATTATGGAGGTAGGAATGAAGAGAGGAGGGCTAAACTCAGGATAATCTGGAAGGTGTTTAAGCATCAGTTTGCTCC